TTTGATACAGTTCCCTATGTTGTAGCGACCCTTTGATACAGTTCCTCATGTTGTAGCGACCCTTTGATACAGTTCCTAATGTTGTAGCGACCCTTTGATACAGTTCCTAATGTTGTAGCGACCCTTTGATACAGTTCCCCATGTTGTAGCGACCCTTTGATACAGTTCCCCATGTTGTAGCGACCCTTTGATACAGTTCCTAATGTTGTAGCGACCCTTTGATACAGTTCCTCATGTTGTAGCGACCCTTTGATACAGTTCCTAATGTTGTAGCGACCCTTTGATACAGTTCCTAATGTTGTAGCGACCCTTTGATACAGTTCCTCATGGTGTAGCGACCCTTTGATACAGTTCCTAATGTTGTAGCGACCCTTTGATACAGTTCCTAATGTTGTAGCGACCCTTTGATACAGTTCCTCATGTTGTAGCGACCCTTTGATACAGTTCCCCATGTTGTAGCGACCCTTTGATACAGTTCCTAATGTTGTAGCGACCCTTTGATACAGTTCCTCATGTTGTAGCGACCCTTTGATACAGTTCCTAATGTTGTAGCGACCCTTTGATACAGTTCCCCATGTTGTAGCGACCCTTTGATACAGTTCCTAATGTTGTAGCGACCCTTTGATACAGTTCCCCATGTTGTAGCGACCCTTTGATACAGTTTCCTAATGTTGTAGCGACCCTTTGATACAGTTCCTAATGTTGTAGCGACCCTTTGATACAGTTCCTAATGTTGTAGCGACCCTTTGATACAGTTCCTAATGTTGTAGCGACCCTTTGATACAGTTCCCCATGTTGTAGCGACCCTTTGATACAGTTCCTAATGTTGTAGCGACCCTTTGATACAGTTCCTAATGTTGTAGCGACCCTTTGATACAGTTTCCCCATGTTGTAGCGACCCTTTGATACAGTTCCTAATGTTGTAGCGACCCTTTGATACAGTTCCTAATGTTGTAGCGACCCTTTGATACAGTTCCTAATGTTGTAGCGACCCTTTGATACAGTTCCTAATCATAGGACCTTTGTAGCGACCCTTTGATACAGTTCCTAATGTTGTAGCGACCCTTTGATACAGTTCCTAATGTTGTAGCGACCCTTTGATACAGTTCCTGTAGCGACCCTTTGTACAGCGTTGTACCCTTTGATACAGTTCCCCATGTTGTAGCGACCCTTTGATACAGTTCCTAATGTTGTAGCGACCCTTTGATACAGTTCCTCATGTTGTAGCGACCCTTTGATACAGTTCCTAATGTTGTAGCGACCCTTTGATACAGTTCCCCATGTTGTAGCGACCCCTTTGATACAGTTCCTAATGTGATACAGTTCCTAATGTTGTAGCGACCCTTTGATACAGTTCCTAATGTTGTAGCGACCCTTTGATACAGTTCCTAATGTTGTAGCGACCCTTTGATACAGTTCCTAATGTTGTAGCGACCCTTTGATACAGTTCCTAATGTTGTAGCGACCCTTTGATACAGTTCCTCATGGTGTAGCGACCCTTTGATACAGTTCCTAATGTTGTAGCGACCCTTTGATACAGTTCCTAATGTTGTAGCGACCCTTTGATACAGTTCCTCATGTTGTAGCGACCCTTTGATACAGTTCCCCATGTTGTAGCGACCCTTTGATACAGTTCCTAATGTTGTAGCGACCCTTTGATACAGTTCCTCATGTTGTAGCGACCCTTTGATACAGTTCCTAATGTTGTAGCGACCCTTTGATACAGTTCCCCATGTTGTAGCGACCCTTTGATACAGTTCCTAATGTTGTAGCGACCCTTTGATACAGTTCCTAATGTTGTAGCGACCCTTTGATACAGTTCCTAATGTTGTAGCGACCCTTTGATACAGTTCCTAATGTTGTAGCGACCCTTTGATACAGTTCCTAATGTTGTAGCGACCCTTTGATACAGTTCCTCATGTTGTGGCGACCCTTTGATACAGTTCCTAATGTTGTAGCGACCCTTTGATACAGTTCCTAATGTTGTAGCGACCCTTTGATACAGTTCCTAATGTTGTAGCGACCCTTTGATACAGTTCCTAATGTTGTAGCGACCCTTTGATACAGTTCCTAATGTTGTAGCGACCCTTTGATACAGTTCCTAATGTTGTAGCGACCCTTTGATACAGTTCCTAATGTTGTAGCGACCCTTTGATACAGTTCCTAATGTTGTAGCGACCCTTTGATACAGTTCCCCATGTTGTAGCGACCCTTTGATACAGTTCCTAATGTTGTAGCGACCCTTTGATACAGTTCCTAATGTTGTAGCGACCCTTTGATACAGTTGTAGCCCATGTTGTAGCGACCCTTTGATACAGTTCCTAATGTTGTAGCGACCCTTTGATACAGTTCCTAATGTTGTAGCGACCCTTTGATACAGTTCCTAATGTTGTAGCGACCCTTTGATACAGTTCCTCATGGTGTAGCGACCCTTTGATACAGTTCCTAATGTTGTAGCGACCCTTTGATACAGTTCCTAATGTTGTAGCGACCCTTTGATACAGTTCCTCATGTTGTAGCGACCCTTTGATACAGTTCCCCATGTTGTAGCGACCCTTTGATACAGTTCCTAATGTTGTAGCGACCCTTTGATACAGTTCCTCATGTTGTAGCGACCCTTTGATACAGTTCCTAATGTTGTAGCGACCCTTTGATACAGTTCCCCATGTTGTAGCGACCCTTTGATACAGTTCCTAATGTTGTAGCGACCCTTTGATACAGTTCCTAATGTTGTAGCGACCCTTTGATACAGTTCCTAATGTTGTAGCGACCCTTTGATACAGTTCCTAATGTTGTAGCGACCCTTTGATACAGTTCCTAATGTTGTAGCGACCCTTTGATACAGTTCCTCATGTTGTAGCGACCCTTTGATACAGTTCCTAATGTTGTAGCGACCCTTTGATACAGTTCCTAATGTTGTAGCGACCCTTTGATACAGTTCCTCATGTTGTAGCGACCCTTTGATACAGTTCCCCATGTTGTAGCGACCCTTTGATACAGTTCCTAATGTTGTAGCGACCCTTTGATACAGTTCCTCATGTTGTAGCGACCCTTTGATACAGTTCCTAATGTTGTAGCGACCCTTTGATACAGTTCCCCATGTTGTAGCGACCCTTTGATACAGTTCCTAATGTTGTAGCGACCCTTTGATACAGTTCCTAATGTTGTAGCGACCCTTTGATACAGTTCCTAATGTTGTAGCGACCCTTTGATACAGTTCCTAATGTTGTAGCGACCCTTTGATACAGTTCCTAATGTTGTAGCGACCCTTTGATACAGTTCCTAATGTTGTAGCGACCCTTTGATACAGTTCCTAATGTTGTAGCGACCCTTTGATACAGTTCCTAATGTTGTAGCGACCCTTTGATACAGTTCCTCATGTTGTGGCGACCCTTTGATACAGTTCCTAATGTTGTAGCGACCCTTTGATACAGTTCCTAATGTTGTAGCGACCCTTTGATACAGTTCCTAATGTTGTAGCGACCCTTTGATACAGTTCCTAATGTTGTAGCGACCCTTTGATACAGTTCCTAATGTTGTAGCGACCCTTTGATACAGTTCCTAATGTTGTAGCGACCCTTTGATACAGTTCCCCATGTTGTAGCGACCCTTTGATACAGTTCCCCATGTTGTAGCGACCCTTTGATACAGTTCCCCATGTTGTAGCGACCCTTTGATACAGTTCCTAATGTTGTAGCGACCCTTTGATACAGTTCCTAATGTTGTAGCGACCCTTTGATACAGTTCCCCATGTTGTAGCGACTCCTAATCATATAAATTCGTTCGTTGCTACTGCATAACTTCAGTGAATAAGTAGTTGTCCCATGGCGATTCCTGTGAAAGGGTAGTACGACCAACAAAACTGTCGCAACCCACAGGTTATGATCCCCTGGTCTAGTGTTAAATGGGGTGCCGGAACACTGATATTGTTACAGACTAATCTCTTTTCTATGGGTGATCACACCGGCCGCCTTTACTTCCTAAGTGTTTGCCTGGTACTCATTTTATGATGGGTAAATATGAAAAGGATCCAACTCTTAACGGATGCAAACCTATGACGCTCTGGCAGGAAGGCGAGCGTCTAGCCACTGTGCCAGTGCGGCTCCCAAATGTGGACGTCGCTTAGTGCAGCAAAGACTGGCAATTGATAGGACAACGTCTAGTTTGAGAATGGAAGTGAAGGTAGTCACTGTTGCCTTCCCCTGGCTTGAGAATTAGCTACACACACACACGCACACACACACACATATGCCGTCAATGTAACTGACTCACAGAACATGTGAAAAGTGCAGACAGGCATGCTCCCTGCAGAGTGGCAAGCTTCACTTCAGAGGTCCCGGGTATTTGGCCTCCTTTGGATATTTTCTCCAGATGGTGCATTGATGTATGACAAGATAGATGTTGTGAGGGCCCTTTGGGAGCGAGTGAATAGTGTGGTTGCACAAACAGATCATTACGGTCCGAGGAGAATGACGCAGCCAGGAGTTACCAGGGGATCTGGCCGACACATAGCAGTCAAGGGAAAGGCGAGACGGATATACATTAGACAGTTACTGGTGCTATCGGAATTGGAACTCTTTGCTTGCTGCTGAAGGTGGGTACGGAGGACTAATCGGAGTGTACTAAATGCTATGATGTCAATTATTAATTTAACTTTCAACATTCGCAAAGAGACGGGCGAGATTAAGAGGTGGCAGGGGTGCATTCAGTTTTTGAATATTGAATAATACAAGAAGAAGCGGAATGGCGAAAGTTGGTGAAGGAGGAGGCGAGGAGAAAAAGGAGAATAAGGAGAGGAGAAGATGGAGAAGAAGAAGAGGAGAAAATAAAGAAAATGAAGAAGAGGAAGGAGGAGATTGAGAAGATGGAGAAGGGGCATCAGCAGCAGATAATATATAAATGCACCATGTAAGTAACTTGATACAAAACTGAACACTGTAATATACAAAGATAACTGTACCTCATTTGGTTCAAAAACATCACTGTGATTTTCTCCCCAGCCTACAGACGACCACCATCAGTGTCCAGCAGCGTCAAAGTGCCCTATGTCCAGCCACAAGACGCTATTGGTCAAGAGTCAAGCGAAGACGGAGAAATCGCCGCTCTCAGTTCTGGGAGCCCTAAAGTCCACTATAAATCTCCAAGAGATAGACCAGGCAGACAGAACAGTCCCCTGTATGCCTGTGTACCTGTCAACTCAACCGACGACTGAGATGAAGCAACTCAGTGGGAGACTAATTCTATTTTGCGTTTTTGTTTGGACAAACAAGTGTTCTGCCGATGGATTTGTGAACAGATTGGAGCTTTATGACTCTTTTGTTAGTTATAAAATATGCGGGGGAATAATGCACAATGAATATATAAGCCAAAAAATTTCTGGACACCCCAGAGATGTGGTTTTACACAATAATGCTTGAAATCGGTTCACGAGCCAACAGAAGTCAACAAGATGTTATGACAGAGGCGACCACCCGAAGACAGCTGATCACAAACATCAGAAAAAGAGTCATCATTTGTTTCGGCCATGTCATGGGAAGAAAGAAGATGTCACATGTCATGGGGAAAAAGAATATGTCACATGTCATGGGAAGAAGATGTCACATGTCATGGGGAGAAAGAAGATGTCACATGTCATGGAAAGAAAGAAGATGTCACATGTCATGGGAAAAAAGAATATGTCACATGTCATGGGAAGAAAGATGATGTCACATGTCATGGGGAGAAAGAATATGTCACATGTCATGGGAAGAAAGAATATGTCACATGTCATGGGGAGAAAGAATATGTCATATGTCATGGGGAAAAGATGATGTCACATGTCATGGGAAGAAAGAAGATAGCATATGTTGGAATCACTAGAAATATTTCTGGAAAGAGAAACATGGGAAGACAATGCAAGATGTTTCTTGACAGCATTTTGTCATGGCTTGGAGGGGTGTCAGCTCATGGACTGACTCATTCTACTGAAGAATGCAGGTTACAGAGAAGCATGACAGTCAAGGCCAGTTAGCAAGGCACTTGATAAAGATGATGCTACAGATTATATATACAGATTAACGGTTCTTGTAATGAAGTCGGGCCCAGAAAGAGAATGACTTTCCTTGCCATTCATGCCTTGAAATGACGCAGGGACTGTCCTGTGTTGCTGGGCTGTCACGCTCAGTGACAGGGCAGAAACACGACGTAATTTACTCATTGTTGTCAGCGGCCACTGATATCGCGTCTTCTATAATCCATGTGTGACCCTGAACCCAACCCCTCTACGCCACAGCATCAGCCTGCGTCCCACGAGAGAATGCTGTCTATATCTTCCACGAATGGATGCAACCTATGACAAACAACGAGTAAAATACGACGTGTGGCTGGACGCTCACTAAGCCTGACACATCTGCCACACAGGACAGGCCCAATGTCACTACGAGGCTTGAATGGCGAGGGAAGTCACTCTCTTTTGGGACCTGACTTTGTTGCTTGAACCAGATTAACTAACGAAAAACCATGTATCATGTCCACAGTGGCGATTTACGACATTGTACCACTACTATCTTTGAGTATACCACACAGCCAGGCGCCAGTCCCTTACAGACTGTGTGAATTCAGAACTGGAGACTTTGTTGATGTAAGGGAGATAACAATGTTAACTGGGACTGAATCGAAGATAACGCAATATCAGATAGATTATTTCCCTTATAACCAAGTTAGTTTTGGTGTTCTTGTAAACGTGTTAGTCGGCGTCTGTGGCTTTGTATTTGTGAACTAATCACTTCCCGTCCTTTTTTAGGATGAAAATTGTTCGTTATTTGAAGCCCTACTGTGGCTCTTGCTGGGAGCCGCAATATAGCCAGGCATAAATATGGTCTAAAGATCCTCATCCACATGGTGGCACGTTGTGTCATCGGGTGTTTATCGCTTGTGTGATGTCCTGTTGGGGTAGAAAGTCAGTCAGTCAGTCTGTGGCTTAGGCTTTGCGACCGCAATTCGTAATGTCGGAGTGCCGGGTTCGATCCTAGCTGCGGGCCTTGCGCTTTGTATTGGTTTCGACGGTGGTATCGAGCAGGCGACCGTCCAGAAAGCAATGGCAAACTACTGATTGTAAATTTGACTAGAAAAAAAAACAGCCAGAAAATGCTAGGTTGGTTCTGCAACGTCCTGTAAAGGATACGCAACTACCTTTATTTACGTGTTGGCCCATGAAAGGGTAATTTCACGTTGTGTTGCGGTTTATAGCTAGGCTGCGACATCTCATCCATTCGATTGTAGCTATCAACTTATTAGTCGCCTCCTGGACAGGGTTGTTAGGAACTGATTAGTCGCCTCCTGGACAGTTAGGCTACTATTCTCTGCTGTTTTTTAAGTCATCTCCATGGGGAATGCAACTGTTGGTTATTTGAAGCCCCGCCCTGGCTTTTGCAGGGGGCCCTGAATATAGCTGGGCCATGAATGTGGCCATAACGACTGAAAGGGGTTTCCGGGACCTCTTCACGGATGATCCTCATCCGCAAAGTAGCATTTTGTGTCACTGGATGTTTATCGCTAGTGTGTTGTCCTGGTGGGTTACAAGCAAGCAAGCAAGTTTTCTCTGTTGTTGCCCACCCTCCCCCCCCCCCCATTTCCCACTGAGAATTGGATTCCAGAACCCAAATGGCAAATTCCTATCAGTTAAATCTCAACTGAAACTCTCTGGTGTGGAGCCTGGTTTCTGTAAAGTATCACTTCCATTCCAAACGGATATCTTTATAGGTAATGTAATGTAATATCCTTTTATAAAGCACGCACTGAGAACCTGCATGATGTAAAAACTCCGCAGCAACAGCTCAGAACCTTCAGTGTGTTTTTACCAGGATTTTTAAAATACTGCCTTTGCTTTTAGTTTTACCAGTTTTTAAATGTTGTCTCAAAACACTACAATGAGGAAATTCATCTACAAATAGAAGGGCGTGGGCTTCTTCAATGAAAACAATACTTGCACTGCCTACTATTGGAGAAAGGCTCAAAGTTCTGCAGGCAGTCATGTCTCAGAGTAGCTGCGGACAAGAGGCGCATCATGCATGAAGCCCTGGATAGAGCTAAAGGTCAGTCACAGGCTGAAAAGGGGAAGGTATTGAATTACGCAAGCTGAAGACACAAGTGGAGATGTGTGCAAGCTTGATAAATTTGTGCGAGGAGAGGAGTGGGTCAAAGTTTCCAAATAAGTTTCAGACTTGTGTATGTTCTTATCACTTTGAGTCCTGACTGCAGGGACTGGCCAGCTGGTGCCGCAGAATCAGACGTTCAACAAATGATTCCTGACAATTCCCACCCAAGTGATGTGATTGTATATACAGATGGCTCTGTGTTGAGGGGCAGACGTATTGCACGGGGGTTCATTGCAAAGGCGAATGGACGTCGCTTAGTGCAGTAAAGCCGTGCATATGATATCACAATTTCTAGTTTGAGAATGGAGGTGGGGGCAGTCTCTGCTGTCTTCCGCTGGCTCGAGAATCAGCTGAACGCATGCCGCGATTGTAACTGACCCACACAGCATGTTGAAAAAGGTGAAGACAGGCATGATTCGTGCAGAGTGGCAAGCATCACTTCAGAGGTCCCAGGTAGTTAGCGTCCTTTAGATATTTTCTCCTGGGTATGCCGGTGTGCTGGGAAATGAGCAGGCAGATAGACTTGTCGGCTCTGCACTGCTTGGTGGTGAAATAATGTATGACAAGCTAGATTTGTTTGGGCCTTCTGAGAACAAGGGAGCCGCCGTGGCCGAGTGGTTAGACGCTCGCCGCTCATCGGAAGTACGGGTGTTCGCTCCCTAGCAGAGCAGGACTTTTTTTTAATGACCTTAGCCCTCAGGTCGACCCAGCCTTGAGTGAGTACTGGGTGCAGTCCTGGGATGTTAAGGCGGCCGGTGATATGCTGACCACATCACCCATTTTGTACAGATTGTTCTATAAAAATAAAGGTTTAGCCCTATACGCCTAAAGGCTTGAAAACCCCCTTTTTTACTCACCTTTGGAAACGAGTGAACAGTGCCGAAGTGCAGATAGATCATTACGGTTTGAGGAGAATGGCACTGCCAGGAGTTACCAGGGGATCTGGCAGACGCTCAACACTCAGGGGAAGGATGAGACGGATATACAATCAGACGGTTACTGGTGCCATAGGAATTGAAACTCGCTTGCTGTCGAAGATGGGAACGGAGCACTTATGGGAGTGACCCGAGTGCTGTGATGTCGATTCGTGATTCAACGTTCAACATTCGAATAGCAGGCAGCTTAGCGTCCTACGGAGGAAAACTGAACCAACAGAGCATCATGACATACAAGAGAACATGATGACATACAAGAGAACATGATGACATACAAGAGAACATGATGACATACAACAGAACATGATGACATAAAGAGAACACGACGACATACAAGAAAACAAGATGACATAAAGAGAACATGACAACATACAAGAGAACATGACAACATACAAGAGAACATGACAACATACAAGAGAACATGATGACATGCAAGAAAACATGATGACATGCAAGGAAACATGATTACATGCAAAAGAACATGATGACATTCAAGAGAACATGATGACATAGAAGAAAACATAATGAAATACAAAAAACATGATGACATACAAAGTAACATAATGTCATGCAAGAGAACAAGATGACATACAAGAGAACAAGATGACATACAAGAACACAAGATGACATGCAAGAGAACATTATGACATAGAAGAAAACATTATGAAATAGAAGAAAACATGATGACATAAAGAAAACATGATGACATACAAGAAAATATAATGACATACAAGAGAACATAATGACATACAAGAGATAACGATGACTTACAAGAAAACATGATGACATACAAGAAAACGGGATGACATAAAAGAAAACAGGATGATTTACAAGAAAACATGACGGCATACAAGAAACATGATGACATGCAAGAAAATATGATGACAAAGAAGAAAACAGGTTGACAAAGAAGAAAGCAGGATGATATACAAGAAAATAAGATGACATACAGGAAAACATGATGACATACAAAATAAAATGATGACATACAAGAAAATATGATGACATATAAGAAAACATAATGATGTACAAGAAAACATGATGACATAAAAGAGAACATGATGACATACAAAAAGAAACATGAAGACATACAAAAAGAAACATGATGACATACAAAGAAACAAGATGACATACAAGAGAAC